CATGTATCACCATAACATGTATAATAATATTGCATAATGCTTATTTCATCGCATATTTGATATTTATATAATTTTGATATGATATTTTCACTTGTATGTGCATGTCTGTGTTTTATCTTTAATTAATAATACCGGTATACTGTAGAATACTTTATTTTCGCTTGGAATTTATTTTCGCTATTTTCGCTGAAGGGATGATTCCGTGAAAATAAAATCCAGCGAATATACTTTTTTTCCTATATTTCACATTGAACTCATGAAAAATCAGTGAAAATAAATTCCAAGCAAAACGCCCAAAAAGCCTTTTCAGCGAAAATTAATTCCAGCGAAAATAAAGTATTCCACAGTACTTTAATTTGCAATTTATATATATAATTTATTATTATTATTATTATTATATAACAAGTTATCTTTCCTTTCAGCTTATATTCATAAACTTAATATATTTAACTTTTAATTTCAAAAGCTCTTTCAGAAGAATATGCAAATTAATCAAATATGCAGCAAAAGTTTACTGTTGCCATGACAACAAGCTTTTCTATTTCACAAACTAAACATTTATACCCTAGCTTACTTCATCTGTTTTTCTGCTTCGCTACCGAAAATAGACTCCAGTACATTTGCTATACGATTCATCTGTGCTCTGAAATTAGATGTATGTTGATTGGTCATATTTTTAATAAATAAATTATTTATTTCGTTCAATAATCATCAATCAAATCTCATAAATCATGTCTGCAACAACAAAAACTTTCGATTAATTCTCGGTTCTATATCTTGCTTGAATATACCACGCAATGAGCGGAAAGTTTAACATTGGCAGGGCGGAAAGTTTGACTTCAACGAACCTTGTTTACGACACAAACACTCAAGTTTCAGTATAAAATATTTTATTGGCATAAGGGACGCACTGTTTAATGCCTACACAATAAACATGTATTTATATATCACACCATTCAAGAGAGTTTGCATGATTTTCTCAAAACTTTCACGTTGTCTCTTGCAATCTCGGCAAAGGTGTGACGACAAGTTCTCGTTTCTGTCCACATTAACTCCAGCCAAAGGGGAGAGTCATTTGATGTTTGATGATTTAGTATCGTTGTTGTTTCTGTTCAATTTGAATACATTTATGTCAGATTTTAGAGGGTGACCAGATTTTAGAAGGTGACCAGATTTTAGAGGGTGACCAGATTTTAGAGGGTGACCAGATTTTAGAGAGTGACCAGATTTTAGAGGGTGACCAGATTTTAGAGAGTGACCAGATTTTAGGGGGTGACCAGATTTTAGAGGGTGACCAGATTTTAGAGGGTGACCAGATTTTAGAGGGTGACCAGATTTTAGAGGGTGACCAGATTTTAGGGGGTGACCAGATTTTAGAGGGTGACCAGATTTTAGAGGGTGACCAGATTTTAGGGGGTGACCAGATTTTAGGGGGTGACCAGATTTTAGAGGGTGACCAGATTTTAGGGGGTGACCAGATTTTAGGGGGTGACCAGATTTTAGGGGGTGACCAGATTCACGCAAGTTTCATAGGAGATATAATGATAATCTTTTTTGGGGTTCTACCCGACAAAAGAGTCGCTATTTCGAAGTGTGCATTTCTGCTGCGATCGCGCCATAATTACAATGAAACATTTTATCAGTACTGCATACCAATTCTGTCTCACAATGAGAAAACATACCATAGCCGATACTGAAGCCAGTGAATGATCTTTTAATCAAACAATGAAAATTCTATCCACTAACGCAACAACCTAAACACTGCACATTGATTACTATGTCTTCAAAAATGTAACATCAACAGTTGACAAATACGGTCATGTAATTAATTATTCAAAGGCTAAAGGTTGAGGATATGCAAATTTATAGTGGGTGCAACAGGAGTCTTATAGCAAATGTCTTGGAGTCAATTGTCAGTAGTGAAGCAGAGATCCAGTCAGAGGAGGCTGGGGTAAAGCATTTACTACTAATATTTGAACATTTTAAAAAATTACAAAAATACATTTCTAATTTTTGATATGGTGACTGAGATTGAATGTCTGTGCGGTATAAGGAATGGACCATTGGTTCCTGGAGGGGGGTATATTATCAGACGAATTATATGGCTGACATTGTAAGACTATATTTAGAACATTACCCAGTAAATAAAAAACACCCCCCCCCCTTCCTCAATGATCCGCTCCTGAATCTTTGGTGATCTGATTCTTAATCTCAGCTTTACCTGCTGGCATTTACTTGTATTGGTTTAACAAAAGATTTTGATTTTTATTTACTAAATTTGTTTGGTATATTCAATAACTAGCTTCAGTCAATTTTATACATCTTGTTAATGGCAGAAGAAGTCATTAAAATGAGGATTACAAACTATTCGTGAGATTAACACTTTTAATGACACTTCATTTCCTAGAATAATTATATATGTTATATAAAGCCCATTGCCTTGTCTTTTAGAAAAGTGTACCAGATCCAGTAAATTTGGAGGATTCATCGCTTTCTGACTCTGACATGGAAGAACCTGCAGCACCCCCACTGAATGAGACCATCATTCAACGAGAAATAAGACTACAGAAGGAACGTGAAGCTGCAGTGCAGAAACAACGAGAAAGAGCTGGAATTGCTAAAAAAACAAATGAAAATAAGTTAGAGAAAAAAGAAAAACATACAAAAGATAAGAAACTTGACATACAAAAGATAAATAATCTAGAAGTGATTACTATTGACAAGAAAGATAAGAAACCAGCCTCTTCTTTTAATAACAATAACGTGGATGCAAAGACAAGAACTGCTCAAGCTAGAGCAGTTTTCACTAGACCAACTATTATTAGTGTTCCTGAACAAAACAAAAGTCAGCCACCTGTCTCCAAAACTACTAAAATTGTATCAACGAAACAAGACAATGACTTTGAAATGCCAGCCACTCAACAGAATGGTCCTACCAATGTGAAGAAAGAGACGCCCATTGAGAAAGAAATCAGACTCGCAAAGGAAAAAGAAGAGGGTTTGAGAAAAGAAAGAGGTAAATTTGTTGTTTATATTTACAATCTGATGTGCCCATCTGGTAACAGATGTAACCATAGCAACAACCATCATAAACATTGTAACTTTTGTTTTATGTGACATAACATGTTTACACCCTAATACATGAACCCAATTAAGTCATTTACCGTACATGTTTGTCACTTTTCCTTGCTTGTAATCATGTATTGGACGGTATGTGCGGAGATATCCATAATTTTGTGAGATGGCTTGTTTTCAGCCACCAGAATTATTGCACTATATTACCACAAATTTGGGACTCTTTGTAATATTATCACATCAAAAACTATATTTAAATTATATTACATTACTGTTATAAAAATTTGCATACATACAAGTTGGGAGAATTGAAACTCATGATCAGACCAACCATTTTATACCATATAATGTTATTACAAGAATGATGTGGCAACTATGTAATGTCTTGCAATATCCTTGGGATTACCTTATCCATCTTCCCAATCCACCTGCTGAATGAAGCCTAGAACTGAACAAGATTTAGAGACATACAGCCTAGCTGCCATCTTGGAAATCATGTAACCATTTCTTATTTGGAATTCCCATTTTCTGATAAGGTAGGATGCAATAACACATCATTACAACTAGCATAATTATGGAGATAAAATAGATGTTATTGTGCCGGGTAATTTATACATCTGTCACTGTAACGCCATAAGTTACAGCGTGCGGTAATTTTCCGGTATTGTACTGGGTATTTCCATCCTACCATATTAGGAAAGGTAAATTCCAAATATGGAATGCTTACGTGCATAAGTGTCCTCTAGTAATAAAAACAAACATGGCTGCCACCAGGGTTTGACCAGACCCTACACAAAGAAGTTTGCTAAATCTGTTCTAAACATTTTGGATTTCGGCATTCCCATGAGTATCCCTGGGAGGAAAAGATGTATAATGATAAGGTTATTATGAGGATACTGCAAAGTATGCACTCAGACAGTACACGGTTGTATCAACCTCCACTGTGCATCGGTCGTTACTCCCACTGTACTGTCTTTGTGCATACTTAGTGATATCCTTGTAATAACATCATATTCTATATACTATAAATACTATTACAGATTAGGGACTTCCCTTACCCAGGTATATATGATTTATTTGTCCTTGTTTGAAGAAAATCCGAAAATACCATTGGTTTTGCCATTCAATTCTGAGTGCAATTTTAAGTTCATCAAAATCAAGCATTTCTGATATTTTAGAACCAGATCTTGGAATTTCAGGACATTGTAGGACATTGTAGGACATTGTAGGACCTTGATGCACAGGATTTTGCTCTTCAGATTAGATTCAAAATGATGGCCATATATATGATATGGCAGGGTTACGTAATAGAAATCTCATTTTATCGACCCCTTATTTTATTGAAGATCCAATATTAGTAAGTAAATTAACAAAACTGTTTTCTCCAAACCTGCAGGCCGTATGGAATACAAATTTGGTATGTAGATATGGGTATAGGTGTCT